GGGCAGCAAGGAGGGGTCCTTGGCAGCCCTCCCCTGGTATCATGTCCCCCACAGAGCTGTCGGAAGTGCTGTGGGCCATGGTGATGCGCGTGGGCCTAGGCATGGACCGTGAGCCGAGTGTGAAGGCAGCCGTGTTGGTGCCAGTCTTCGCCGGCTTTGCTGTCCTCACTGTGGCCATCCTCCTGGTGATGGAGGGGCTCTCAGCCTTCCTGCATGCCTTGCGGCTGCACTGGTGAGTGCCAGGCGGGGGAGGAGGCGGTGGAGGGGGGTAGGTAAGGCCCCCTCACCACTGCTCCTCTCCTGCCCTCAGGGTAGAGTTCCAGAACAAGTTCTACTCAGGCACTGGTTACAAGCTGAACCCCTTCACCTTCACCGTGGAGGATGAATAGTGTCCCTGTCCCCCCCAAACATCGTGGGCCTATCCTCCTTCCCCATTTGTACCTAACTGCAGCCAAGGAATAAAGAGGGAAAATGACCTAGGAATTCTGTTTCGGTTCTATCTGTTCTGGAGACCTGAGCCTGTCCCCCATGGTGCCTTGGCATTGCATTAGGATCTGGGCCCAGAGGTGGCCGCAGCCCCATTATCAGTAAGTGGACGGGCTGTTTTCAGCACTTTCAGCTCAAGATGTCTTCCCAGGTAGGGGGCAGGGGTGTGGGAGTGAACACATCTGTGGATTTATACAAACTGGGTCTGTATGGACACTCAGAGCAGAGGGTGGTGCCTGTCATGAATGGGGTCATTGCTTGGCACTGGGCCCCAGGGTCTCAAGGTGCCCAGAGGTGGATGGAGAACAGCTGGTGTCACTCTGAAGGCAAGCACTGTCCCCAGGAGCTGAGACATCACCAGGGAAGGCTTACAGCGTGGAGAGAGGGCAGACCATGAGCACCAGCCCCAGCCCATCTTCCTGCTCCCCTGAACTGCACCCCACACAACAGGCTGCAAATGGTTCTTCCAGAGGGAGGCCCAAGACACAGGGCAGCAGTGCCTGTCCCTTGGGTCCTGGGTGCTTCCCACAACAGTTACATGGATCTGAGGTGGCAGTGAAGCTTGGGCTGTGTGTGGTCTGGATGGATCCCGTCCAGCTTCCTGGGAGGGAGGGTCCTGGGGCTTATCCAGCAAAGGGAAGAGTAACCTGCCTGGCAGCTTTGGGGAGGAGACAGCTGGTACCCACTGGGCACAGCCAGTGACCAAACTCCACTGAGCCCTGCTTAGGAGCCAGGTGAGTGTGCAGACACAAGAATGAACGGTGTCCGAGGAAGAGCCTGAGCCACTGGAGATGGACAAGCCCGAGAGAATGACTTGGGGGAAGGAGGAGGGGTTCAGAAAAGGGTACCATGAACTTGGGGTGTTTAAGGACAGGGGCTGGGAAGGTGGGCAAGGCCAGCCGTTTACCCCAGGCCACAGTCACTGTCCTTCACTCCTCCACCTCCCTAGAGAAACCTGCATGGGGGTAGCTTTTTGGGACTCCATGAGAGGGGCCCTGGGAGGGGGGAGTGGGGGCCCAGTGAACCCCTACTTGGAGCAGCCCTGGTGGGCATACGATGGAGAATGACTTTGAGATGGGGGCAGGCAGGCAGACAGGAAGTACCAGGAGACATCCAAGAGAGACAGTGTAAGGTCTGGCTTTCAAGTCTTTTATTATTCATATAGTACAGTCTCTGTAGTAGCAGAAATGTATGCACAAAAAAACGCATTACGTTCAGATTGGAAAAAAAAATCTAAGTTCATCCTAAAGGGGTTATTTTACACATGACTTCACATCTGTCTCTCCCAGCACATACAGGACCCAGCTCCCAGGTGTCACCAGGAGGGGCACTGTGGAACAGGCCACCTGCGAGCGCCAGGGCCAGGCTGCCTCCCACCCCCAGCATACCAGTCCCAGGGAGCCCTGGGATGAATGGAGAGGCAGGGAGGTCCAGGAAGACCGGGACCGGGGATAGGGGTGGAGGGTGGACGGGTACACACCAGCAGGTTCCACACAGCCTCCGTGGCTGGAGTTAACAAAGCAGATTCCATTGGAGGGCCTGGCAAAGCTGCTTTCCAGCTCGCTGCCCCTCCCTGTGTGGGGGGTGAACCAGCAGGTTCCTGGGGACTGGCAGGGGATGGCCACAGCTGGATGCTGTGCTGGTTAAGGCCTGGGACGGACTTCACAGTATGTATGCACTGTCGTGTGCAGGCCCGGTCCCCTTGGAGGGAGTAGTGTCTACGGCACACTTACCACAGAGAGCCTGGTCCCAGTGGTCAGCAGCAGCACATTCATTCAAGAGGTGGAAAACCAACAGTGACAAAAACCAGACAGCAGCTCCAACAGCCCTGCTTACTCTTCGTTATGTCTGAGGAAAGCTTGAGGCCCCAGAGGACAGGCCTTCTCAAGATTAAGAGGATTGTGAGATGTTGCACTATTGCACTATTACACTAAGTTTCTGCTTCCGAAGCTCGTCTCCCGAGTGAGTCCTAGTGAAATCGTAAACATGAAAGAAATGTTACTCAGTTTTAATACAGTCTTTAGTATCATACACATCTGGGCTCTGGAGCGAGGTCAAAGCCTTCTGGCTGCAGGTACAGGAAGTAGTCAGAACAGAGAGAGAGCCTTGTCCAGCTGCTTCCGGAGAGTGGGCCAGCGGTGAAGGGTGAAGTGTGGCTGCCCACACTCATACCCCGAGCTTCCTCTTCTGGTCAAAATAGGCATCAAACCTTGCTTGGGCATAGTCCTACAAGACAGCAAACAGAAAGCAGGTTCAGCAAGGTCCTGCTTGCCCGGACCCTACCTGCATCCACCCCAAGGCCCAGGGCAGGACCCAGGAGGGGTTCACTGTGTCACTGTGCTCCCAGGAGCCCTATCTTGCCTTCAGCATCTCACACCTTCATACCTCCATGCTACCCAGAGCCAGCTCAGTCACCTTGGCCAACCCAGTCCTGCCAATGGAGACAGGACTTCCTGGCTAGACACTTGGTGTCTGTTGTTGCTCATCATCCCATCTGCCCTGACTGCAGAGGGCAGCTGGCTGAAGTAAAGGCTCCTCCTCTTTTAAATCAGTCGATGGACACCTGGGCCACTAGCAAGGCCACGAAGAGGGTGGAGCCTGTTCCCTGGGACCATCTGCAGCACCATGACTAAAATGTTTGCATTTTCATATAGGCTTTAGAGTCAGTTTTCAATTTCTACCGAAAAAACGGGAGAGGTTTCTGAGCGGGACTGTGGAGAAGACTCTAGAGCCCAGTTTGGGGGGAGTGGACACTGGAATGCTGAGTCTCTCAATCTGTGTTATGAAGATCAAGTCGGTTCTGACACACAGCAAGCCTGTAAGGACAGAGCAGTGCCCTAGAAGGGTTCCCAAGGCTGAAAACCTACAGAAGCAGATTGCTTCGCCTTCCTCCTGCAGTCAGTGGAGGGTTTCAAACCACTGTCCTTGTGACAAGCAGCCCGGTGCTTAACCACTGCACCACCAAGGATCCTCAAACACGGGCTATTGCTCCATGGATTTAAGGCTTTTCCCTTAGCAATGTTTTGTAGTTTTCAGTGAACTCTTGCACGTTAAAAAAGATCCCTGAACATTTCACTTTTTTTTTCTCCTTTATTCTGTTAATATGCTACCTCAAATGATAAGTTAACTTTGTATCCTGGCATAAGTGTCACGTGCTCACAATGTATTTATTCTTTTATAGATACTGACCAACTTCTGATAAAGCATTTTGTGTGTGATGTTCAGGAAGAACCTTCTTGAGATGGCTTTTTGGTGTCAGTGTAATGCTGGCTCATCACACGGGTGGGGGATGTGCAGGATTGACCCTCTTCCTTTTTACTGTTTGATGTTCTTCATCAGTGAGGTCCTGTATCCATCACCAGAGACTGCTCTCTCCTGACCACACCCAAAGTAGGAGACCAAGTCTGGCCATCCTGGTTTCTAAGGAGCGTTCTGGAAGTCCATGGTAGTTTGTTTGTTCTTCTGGAAGTCCATGGTAGTTTGTCTTCTGGAAGTCCATGGTAGTTTCAATATTCTTCGTCGACACTGCTGCTGTTGTTAAGTGCCGTTGAGTCAGTTCTGACCCATAGACCCTGTACAGCGTTTCTGAGGCTGTAAATCTTTACAGGAGCGGCTGGTAGTTTTGAACTGCTGACCTTAAGGTTCGACGCCCGATTCGAAACCACTACGCTACCAGAGCTCCTTATATCCGACAAATTCTGCAGTCAACTGTTTTCATTGTAATTCAGGCTAAAATGTTTTCTAATGTTCCTAAAATGAAATTTCTTAGTTGACCTAAAAGTTCATTTAGAAGTATACTGTTTAATTTCCAAATAAACTTTGAGTCATGACTTTGTTGTGATCAATTTCTAATTCCAGTACAGTCAGAAAAACTCTTCTGTATTATTTCAATTATTTAAATGTACCGAGACCTGGACGATGGCCCAGTACTGGGGTCTATCTTGATGAAGTGTCTGTGTTTGTTTGTTTGTAAATACTGCACATTCTACAACTGACGGGTAGGATGTTTTATTTTCATTAGGTCAAGTCAGTTATCCCATTTTCTTGTTGGTTTTGTTTACTGTCTCTATCCATGACAGATACAGCAGTGTGGTCATCTTTATGTCTCAGGTTCTGCTTCATGTCTCTTGAAGGCAGGTCCGTGCACATCTAGGCTTTCCTGTGTTTTCTTGATGACTGATCCCGGCACCACAGGATAAGCACTCCCCCTTAAGGTCAACTTAAGGTTGGTAGTTCACACTTATCAGCAGTGCTCCTTATAAACCCTATACAGGGTTATTATACGTTGGAAGTGACTCAACAGCACTTAACAGCATTATGATGAAATAACCTAATTTCTCTCTGAAGTCTGCTTTGTCTTATGGGTAAATACCAAGTAGAGGAATTGCTGGATCATAAGGTATTTCTATTTCAAGCCTTCTGAGGAAGTGCCCTATTGCTTTCCAGAGAGGCTGGACCGTTTTTGCAATCACACCAACAATGTAGGAGAGGTCCCAGTCTCTCCACATTCTCGCCAGCATTTATTGTCCTCTACTTTTATCTTTAATCTTATTGCTGGTGTGAGATGATATCTCATTGTTGTTTTGATTTGCATCTCTCTAATGGCTAGTGGCACTGTGGGTTAGTGCACCAGACTGCAAAGCCATTTAAACTGCAAGGTTGGCAGTTCAAGCTCACCAGCTACTCCTCGGAAACCCTACACAGGGTCGCTATGGGTTGGAACAGACTCAATGGCACTTAACAACAACAATAACAATGGCTAGTGACCGTGCACATGTTTAATTGGGTTATTTGTCTTTTTCTTGTAGAGGTGTTGTAGTTTCCTATATATATTTTAGAACTGAGTCCCTTGTCTGATGTTTTCCCATCTGTGGGTCCCTTTTTACTCTGCTGGTGAAGTCTTTTGATGCATATAAATTTCTGATTTTTAGGATATCCCACCCATTGATTTTGTCTACTTTTGTTTGTGTAGTTTTCAAAATGTTTGGTAGTCTGTATTCCCTGAATTAGTGCCCTCACATTTGTCCCTACTTTTTCATTGATGGCCTTCAAAATTTTGGGATTCACAGATAGGTCTTTAATCAATGCTGATGCTGAGTTGGTTTTTGTATAAGGTGTGAGGTGATGGTCTAGTTTCAATCTTTTGCATATCACTTTCCAATTCAGCCAGCACCATCTGTCGAAGAGACTACCCCCCCCATCCCATGCAATATATTTAGGTACTTTGTAAAAAAAAAATCAGTTGCCTATATGTGGATGGGTTCATTTCTGGACTCTCGATTCTGTTCCATTAATCAATGTATCTTTCATTGTACCCGTACCAGGCTGTTAAAATCTGCTTTGTCGTACAGTATCATCTGGCCATGTTCCAAACCTGCTCTAAAAACCCACTTTTACTCTTCTTTCTTTGCCTAGTAACATCTTTGTATTACCCAGCCTTCTGACGAGGACCAGAAGCCAGCCTCCTAGGGAACCAAGGTGGCTACAATGGACGAGTATCCCGGCACCTGTTAATCTGTGTCCATCTACCCACTCCATCACCCACCACTCATGACAGAGCCAAGGCAAGTGTTTGTCTTCATGAAGGGCAGTCTCCAGGCTGGGGGATCACAGCCTCGGTCACAAACTTGCCCACAGCTAACGGGAGATCAAATCAACAACCATCCGATCAGCTAGAGAATGAGACCGGAGCAGTCAACGATGAAAACCATTTGCAGCAAGAGGTAGGAGCCACCCCAAGCCCCACTCAGTGTCTCTGGTGCCAGAAGGACAAGAGGTCCTTTAAGGTCAGGATTTCCCCGGTCTCCCCCCCAGAAGCCTCAGGACCACACAGCAGTTGTTGAAAGCAGGGCAGGTGGGTCCTGTGGGCTCGGGGCTGAGGAGACTGCATCGGTGAGAGATGCTCAACACCACGTAGCTTCCCAGCGGTGAGCCGCACTGGCCTGGCTCTGGGCACCAGTGTCACCAGGTCACAACAATCCCTGTATACAACAGTCCCGTCCACTGTAGCTCTGGAGTAGAAGAGGAAAAACCACCGCAAAACATACCATGTACCCAAATTCAATAGATGAAATCTTGGCCTGTACGATGGACCACAGTCCCCAGAAGAAATGGGATGCAAGGGCAAACCTGGAATTACAAAAGCAAGAATTGCACGTGAGAACGATGAAGCCCTTTCATGCTCACTGTACAATTAACTCTCTATCCCACAGAGAGGCCAAGCTCTCCTCCAAAGACGACCTTGGGGGTTCACTCAGTGAGCCTTACCAAACCCTTGTCTGGTGCTGCCCCTTCTGCCGGACTTTTCTTCCACCTCCATGCTTCTATCTGCACCCCCCTCAAGACAGATAGGAAGACCCACACTGCAGGGGAGTCAGGGAGTGGGCAAAGATGACAGCATGCTCAGGGAGGGGACCATGAACAGACAATTGTGGCCAGCAGTGGGGTAGACAGAGCACTCAAGGAGGGTCCAAGTTCAACAGCCAATTTACTGGACAGCCCCACAGGAGGCGGAGCCCTAAAGACCAGGACTATCCCACGAGTGTGACACAACAGGGAGCTCTCTTTTTGACACCTGTGCAGAACCTGGTTGCTTCTGGGGCCAGGCTTTAGGAAACCCAAGCATCGTGCTAATGGTGAGAAGACAGAAGAGAGGCAAGATTAGAACCAGTGCAGCACAGGCTCTGTTTGATCATTTTCTAGGAGAGACCAGGCACAGGAACATACAGAATGGTGCTCATGCCAACAGACATTTGCCTAGGACACAGCGTGAGAGTCTGAAGTCTGAGGGTCTGGGAGGCAGAGCTTTGGTATATGGGAGTCTTTTTGGTTGTTGATTTTAGAGTTTGGAATCCAAGACAAGCAGCATGACTTCCTTGTCCACCAAATCCCCTCAATTTGGAAGGCTCTGGGCAATCTCAGCCACCTCGCAAAAGTACCAAATGTTCTACTGTGACAAAGTGCAGGTCCTAGAAACCTACGGCTATGAAGCAGCACCGAAGCCACCCGTAACTGCTGCTGACTCGGTGCTGACTAATGGTGATCCTGTCTAGGGTTTCCAAAGAGCAGCTGGTGGGTTTGAACTGCCGATCCTGTGGTTAACAGCCCAGTGCTGGTCCGTGGCACATCAGGACTCCCTAATTGGCCGCAGGAATGCCAAATATAGCCTATTGGAAAGGTAAGTGATCTTTACAAATAAAAAAAGGTAACAATTACCTGTTGACTTCAACCAACATTTCGTCTTCTATAGTGGACTTTTCTTCATTACTGAGGTTCTCAAATTCACCTTGGAAGGCAGCCAAGTAATGAGAAAGAAAATGGAGCTAAAAACCAATAAACAAATAAAAGGAATTATGTGATGTTTGTTGTTGTAGTTAAGTGCCATTGAGTCAGTTCTGATTTATAGAAACCCTGTATAGGGCTTCCCTGGAGCAGCCGGTGAGTTTGAACCCCAAAATTGACTTTGTGGTCAAGTGCTTCTCCTCCAGCGCCACCAACAATTGCCGTGAGGCCTACACACCCAGAGTGGCCTCACTGGATGGCAGCGAGGAGTGCCAAGGCAACTGCTGTTGCTCCCTGCAGGCGCAGGCCTTCGGAAAGCTGCCTTATAGCATTGCTGCTGGTGGTGTGGCACTCAGTCTGGACTTACAATGACCCTGTGTATGGTTTCTGAGGAGAAGCTGGTGCTTGGAACTCCCCACCACCTTGCAGTTAGTAGTCCAGTGCTTATCCGACAGCACCACACCAGGACTCCAGCCTGAAGCACCATTTGATGATCTGTACTGTTTTCAGCCAACACTCATCTGTAAGTTTGTCATACTGTGATGGCTTGTGTGTCACTGTGATGCTGGAAGCTATGCCCCCGGTATTTTAAATACCAGCACAGGGTCACCCATGGTGGACAGGTTTCAGTGAACTTCCAGACTAAGTCTAAGATGGAGAGGTGTACGACTTCTGAAAGTTTATGAGTAGCAGTGGAACACTGTAAGATAGAATGCTGGAAGACGAGACCCTCAGGTGTGGAAGGCACTCAGAATACGATTAGAGATGAGGTGCTTCCTGAAAGTAAGAGTTGACTGTGATGATGCAAATGGAGTAAAGCTTTGGGGACTTTCAATTGTTGATGAAGCATGAATTAAGGACAAACAACTTTAACATCAATCAGAACATGGAAGGTATAAAGTATTAAGCTAGGAAAACTGTCAAAAACGAATCAGAACACATAAAGACTGACTTCCTATGAGCTGAAATAAACTGGTACTGGACATTTTGAATCTGAAAATTATATGGTTTACCATGCCGGGAATGACAACTGAAAAGGAAGGATGTCGCATTCATCATCATAAAAACAAACAAACATTTCAAGATACATCTTGAAGTACAATGCTGTCTGTCATAGACCAATTAATAGCAATGTTATTCACAGTTACACAACAATAACTAAACCAGTGACAATGAAATTTAAGAATCCTACCAACTTCTTCAGTCTGAAATTGATCAAATATACAATCAAGATGTATTGATAATTGCTGGTTATTGGAATGCAAAGGTTGGAAACAAAAGAGTAAGGGTCAATAGTTGGAAAATATGGCCTTGATGATAGAAATGATGCTGGAGATCACATGATAGAATTTAACAAGATCAATGTCCTATTGGTCTTACTGACTATGCAAAGGTTTTCAATTGTGTAGGTCACGGCAAGCTGTGGACAACAATGCAGAGAATGAGTATTCCAGAACACTTCATTATGCTCATGAGAAACCTGTGCACAGACAAGAGTCAGCTGTTTAAACAGAGCAAGAGAACACTGAATGGTTTAAAATTAGGAAAGCTGTGTGACAGCGGTGTATTCTTTCACCGTACTTATTCAATCTATATGCTGAGCAAATAATCCAAGAATCTGGATTATCTGAAAAAGAACATGGCACCAGGACTGGGGGGAAATTCATTAAGAGCCTGCAATAGGCAGATGAATACAACCTTGCTTGCTCAAAGTGAAGAGGACTTAAAATATTTACTGATGAAGATCAAAGACAACAGCCTGGTATGGGCCGTACACCTCAATGTAAAGAAAACAAAAATGCTCACCACTGGACCAATAAACAACATCAAGATAATGGAGAAAAGACTGAAATTGTGCTCAGATCAACCATCAGCACTCATGGAAGCAGCAATCAAGAAATAAAAACTATATATTACATGAGGCAAATCTGCTGCACAAGGACCTATTTAAACTGTCAATTTAAGGACTAAGACGCTCCTGACCCAAGCCATGGTATTTTCAATAACCTCATATGCATGTGAAAGTTGGACAATCAATAAGGAAGACAGTAGAAGAACTGATGCATTTGAGTTGTGGTGTTGGAGGAGACTGACAAAAGAACAAATCAATTTGTGTTGGAATAATTACAGCCAGAATGTTCTTTAGAAGCCAGGATGGTGAGACCTTGTCTCTCATACTTTGGACATATTATCAGGAGAGACCAGTCCCAGGAGGAAGACATTATGCTTGGTAAAGCATAGGATCAGTGAAAAAGAAGAACCCCCTACCAAGATAGACTGGCACAGTGAAAGCAACAATGAGCTCATGTGTACCAACTGTGAGATGGGCGCAAGACCAGGGCAGTTTCCATGTGTTTGGCACAGGGTTGCTATGAGTCAGAACTGACTCGATGGCACCTAACAACAACTGTACAAAGCTGAGAGCTGAAAGTTAGAAACGCTGATGGACTTGATGTGGAGTTGTTGGCAAGACAGGTACTGGAAACTTGTGACTAATGCTACTGAGATAGGGAGCCTGGGAGCATCATCTTTCTAATTTCATCTGCAGTTTGAATTCTGCTGCCGCAACTCAGAGAAGAGAAGCCTAGTCAGATGGGCTGGCGCTCCCTCCCTCACCTCGTGTTTGTCAGTGGGGAAGCTGGACCAGTCAACAAAAGGGTTCCTGCCAACTTTGGGAGGCCACCATGATTTGAAAATACGTGTGGAGTTCCCACATTGTTTTCCAGGCAAGACATGCCAAAATATCAAAGAACAAATATTCTCCATGTTATGTACATGTGTTACATAAACAAAAAGGGAGTGAACTACACAGCTTATTCTAGACTTTTTCATTCCAAAATCAAACAGAAATAGTAAATTTAAGAACGACATCATAGGTCCATTTCATATATGAACACAGGCATAGAACTCTTATTAAACAGCACTTAACTGGATCCAACATTGCAAAGTATCACAACTCATTTAAATAAGAGTTTGTCTCAGGAAATCAAGGATGGTTTAACACTTTCAAATATCTCTTCGGTGGATTAAAAGAAAAACAAGAGGTTTACACCATTCGATGTAGAAAGGTTATCAGCACGGAATACCAAAGATGTTTACCCGTATGCTATTGACTTTGCAAAGGGATTTCAGTAAAGAAATAATTCTGTTTTGGAAGAAGTACAGCTTGAATGTTCTTTGAAGCAAAGATGGTAAGACTTCGTGTCACGTACTTTGGAAAGAGCATCAGCAAAAAGAGGAAGACCCTGATCCAGATGAACTGTCAGGACAGCACCTGTCACATAGCAGGAACTGTGAGGACGGCGCAGGACCTGGCAATCTGTGGTGCATGGGACTGCTAGAGTCAGAGCCGACTCGATGACACTTAGCAAAACGGCACGACAATTTCTCTTCATTCCAACCAGCAGCTGTTAACCCTGACTCATGGTAACCTCTCGTATGTCAAGAGTAGAACTGTGCTCCTTCACAGGCTTTTCAGTGACACTTCAGAAGTAGATCACGAGGCCTATCTTCCAAGGCACCTCTGGGCAGAACCTCCAAGCTCACCATCTGTACAAGGCAGGAATTCCTGCTGCTGTACGCGCTCTTCCCCTGGCTGGACAGTCCTACTCTCCCTCACTGTCCCCCACCCCTCCCTTCCATGTCATCTGACTCTGAGGTCCAGAAGCATCCAAGTCAACGCTGCTTTGGGCACACAAAGTTCACCACCACTGACTTTCAAATATGGCAGGGTCCACATCTGAAGAGCCCTCCCGCCGGGGTTACCTACAAGCATCTGTGCCCATCTCACCCTGGACCTGTGTGCAATGCTTCTGACCGACCGGGGAGAGGCTACGGCAGGGAGACACTAGGGCTGGTGGTGCTGGGCCAGGCACAGGCTCAGAGGCAAGGCAGGCAGGGTGCCCAGAAAGGAGTGTCCCCAAGAGGTGATGCTCCACCCAGCCCCGGGCCTCCCTCCCACATGAGCCAACACTGTAGTGCCCAGAGGACTGCTTCTCTCAGCTCGGCACTGCATCAACACAGGAAGGCCAGTGGCCTCCAGCGAGCAAGCCTGAAAGTGGAACAGACCAGAGGAGCTACAGAGAAAACGGGCCTCTGGGGTCTAAATGTCGTGCCTGCTTCTATGTGGCACAGAAAAAAACCCAGCACTCAAATCAAAATATTCCAGACATTTAAAAAGGCCCTCTTCTCTCTCTTACCTGCCAGCATGGAATGACCCTAAACCAGAAATATCCCCTGGAAGTCTGCTTAAAACCAACAGCATTCTCACTAACAAGTACAGAATGCCTGCCGTGAGCTCGTGCTCTTTAACAACAGGCTGCTGTTGTCGTTGTGTGGTGGAGTCGGTTCTGACTCACCACGACCCTGTAGAACAGAGAAGAACGGTGTCACAGGGTTCCCAAGGAGTCTGTTTCCAATCACATCGAGTGTGTGTGCAAGCTAGACAGACATCAAGGAAGACCAAAAGGACAGATGAAGAATACTGAAAGTACCATGGACTGCCAGCTGAACAAACACATCTGTCTTGAAAGCAGTACAGCCAGAATGCTACTTGGAGGCAAGGAGGGCAAGACTTGATCTCACAAAGATACTTCAGACATGTGATCAGAAGGTACGAGTCCCCAGAGCATCACCTCTTGTGGGAACTCCCTTCTGACCTCTACGCATGTGCCCGGCCCAGCATCATCAGCCCGAGGACATCATGCTGGGTAAAGTAGAGGGTCAGTGAAAAAAGAATTGAGAGAGACCCTCAGAAAGATGATGGCTCCTGGCAAGGCTGGAGCAGGGCCGGGCAGGGTCTCCTAGTGCTGCACTGTGAGGGAGCCCCTGTGAGGAGGAGGAGGCCATCTCCGCAGGAGCACACTGCCAGCTCCTTTCTCCCACAGAGCAGCTGCTGGGGTCCAATTGCTGACCTTTGGCTTAGAACTGGAGCCCTGGTGGCACAATGGTCAGGCAACACTAAACAGGTATCGTCTGAGTTCAAGGTGGGGACAAGTCAGAAAGAACAGTAAGAATGGCGGCAGTGTCACTGGTTGTACACGTAGAAACTGTTGAACTGGTCTAGATACTGATGTCTGTATTTCCAACAAAGCGCTAATCTAAAAACAAGATGTCATTCTAACTCTATGAGATTGACTGAGAGAATTTGTCCCCATCAATTCTATAAAAGACAAGTCTCCTACCTGCTGTTTCTTGGTGGGGTATTTCAGGATGTTTGCTCTGAAAAACGGGTACGTTTCATAGGTGTAGTCATACATCCATTCACAGAAATGATTCCCAATGTCGAATCCCCTGAAGAGAGAGAGAACATAGCATGAGGCAAACGTCTACTCCAGGAGGCCCTAGTTTACAGGGGAAATCCGAGCTAGAGCAATAACATTCGTCCAGAACCAGCGGGAATCCTGAGCGGGATTTTCTGCACATTAAAAAGTTTAGGACGTCTATCCAAGGGGAATGACTCCAGAGCAAAAGCCAATACAGATACTGGGTTTTCAAGGCAGGGGACATGCTGGGCTGCCCATAGAAAACGGTTTAGCTTCCAGGTAGAGACTGTACCTTCTCTCCTAAGTGCTTCACAAAACTCCCAGAGCAGCCCCACACTGCTAGAATAGCAGCAACTGCTTGCAGGGCCTACCTGTAATTGTAACTGCTATATTCAAAGTCGATGAGCATCAGCCTCTGCTTTTCGGAGCCCCCTTGGTCATCCAGCAGTAAGATGTTACCTGTAAGAGAGTCGGGATCTCGTGTCCTACTCTGTGGTGTGCTGCTTTGTTCACAGTTGGCTCAATTCCATGAAGCTAAGGAATGAATATGGTTCTGACCGTTCCAAGGGGATGCAGCCAGCTATTGATTCTTGGTCACCGTGGACAGGGCACCAGGAGAGGCACCTGTCACCACTGACCTGCAGCACATGGCCTGGTTCTCAGAGAACCCAGTCTTGTGCTCTGTTTTCTAGGAAACACTGTGCTTCCCAGTGCTCACATGCAGTACAAGGGAAATGCCCATTGGCACCTGGAGCTCTGGCCACCCCTGGCACCACCAGCAGCTTTGAGGCCACCACCCATCTGGGAAGCATGAAGAGGGTGCTGGCCTACTGCTTTGTCCCAGTATCTTTATCCTTCCCAACAGGAGGTACCAAGCACGTTCCTACCATAGCATTCCCTTTAGGGTGAACTCTGGGCCCAAAGTGAGCCAGGCGCCAAATTGGCCCACACTCTACAGGGTGCTCAGGGCCTTAAGCACTGCCTCCAACAGTGAAGTAGACAATGAAAACCACCCACAGCAAATGTGGGCAGGGGGAAGCAAAACAGGTGAGGGTCTCTGAAAGGTTTCTGCACTGTCCAGTGCACTCTTCTGTTTCCAGGAGCAATTCACAGGACAGGGAGAGGTAGTAGGCGTCACTAGCAGCCCAGAAAATGGCCACCTCTGCTCTGTCTCCACTTCCCCATCACTTGAGCCAAAGCTCTAAAGCCTGACACCTATGCGGCGGTGATCAGTCCACTTCCAGAAGGGTAAGACACAGAGGCATACACTGTGCTTGACCTGAGACTCCTGTCTCCCATGGGGATTATTCTCAAAATTAGGACTGGTGAGCTGGGCAAGGCAGGGCCTACAGTGATGTCCGCTGCAGCCGGGAAGGGGAAGAACCGTCACACAGAGAGAGGAAGAGGAGCAGCAGCACAACTGGGAGCCAGGCAGGAAATGAAGTTGGAAGGCTAGGTGATGGGCTGGTACATCAAGAGACACTAGGGCATTCGAAGTTTCTAGAGCTAGCATAGGGAACTGAGACAACCGAGGGGATGGAGAGGGGCTTTGCTCGGCTATACCACAGGGTGAAGGGAAAGGGCCAGGACTGGGTTAGGAGGCGATTCTGTGTCTCAACTGTTTTTCTGTAGATTAAAAAGTTCACAGATGCTCCCCGTAAACTTAAACGTGGATAAAACATACATCTTTAAGTTTAAGCCCCACTTCCACCCACAGTTAGTGACTATTCTTTCAGAGGGAAACCAAAAGGCGTGTGCGACTCGCTGTGCTGGGCCTGACACTCGCTTTACGGCGCCAAACCTGCAAGTTCTCCGAGGACCTTCCAACAAAAAGGGCCTCGTTAGGTGACAGCAGTTCTACTGTGATGCAGACCCTAAACGCACAAATAGGACCTGCTTTTTCCTCCTTAATGCAGGCCCACCGGTGATGGACAAAGTGGCATTCCTCAAAAACACTGGAGGCAAATCGTGGCAACAGATGCACAGCCGTGTGAGAAGGACAATTCTTACCTTCTTGACAGTCATTGTGGCAAAACACAACTGGAGATGCAGTGGATTCAAGCAAGGACCTGGGAAGGGAAGGGCTCACTGTTACTCATCAAGCCACTCAGATGCCCCAGGCACCGCAGCCACGCCTCACCGATGCTGCGCTGTTCACAGCTGGTAGAGGTTTGTGACCACCTGGCATTGCGCATATCCACGTCCCATGGAGTTCATTCTCCCGCTTTCACACTTGTCACTGTGCTCCTGCAAACTCACTGGCTAGTCTCATGTCAACGTGACTGCTCTATGCACTGGGAAACCAAGCCGTGTGCAGCTTGCTGCGCCGAGCCTGACATCATAGTTACAGCAGTGGTCACTTTACAGCAGTGGTCCAGTGAGGACCTTCCGCTGAAAATGACACGGTTATGTGGCAACGGTTCTACCGTAATCGGACCCTGAGTGAGTGAGGTGTCCTCCAGCCGGCCCTGGGCACACAATGCTCTGTGGCGAGTGACTCCCAACTTCTGCACTCTCAGGTCATGACCTGCATGGGCTCCCCCATGGCGAGCACTCTCTGTCTACCCAAGCCCACCTAGATCCCTCCATGCTCGTCTTCTCCATTTTGGTCTCCAGTGTCCTTCACAGCACTCATTCCCAGCTGATATGATTTTACGTGTTTGAGTTTTCTGTCTCCCCAGTGAAACGAGCTGTGAGCAGTACGCCCCATGAGAACAGAAGCGTAGTAATGACACCCAGCCCCACCCCAAGGCCCCACTGCAGCTTCTCCTCAGGACACTGGGACCAGGCTGGCCCTGGCCCCCTCGGGCTCATGTGCACCATGTCCTTCATCTGCTCAACTCTGGCTGGCGACCCCACGATTTCCTCTACTGCCCTTGTCACCAAACCATCACCTGGAATTTTACTTCCTCTCCAACACCCCCAACAGACTGACTGAAAAAGTGATAAAACTAACTCAGATCAAAATTCATCTTGTGAAACCACAGTGAAAGTGGACTGCATCTAACATCACAAAACAAAACGTGTATAAAGCGTGGAATGGGAAACTAGTCACACACACATGTATAATCTCCCACATCAATACACACACACACATAATATCCTCCGTCAATGTCCACACACACACATATGTACAATCTCTGCAGTAAACGTCCACACACACGTGCAATCTCCGCAGTAAACGCCAGGCAAAAGGCAGAGCTTCCTTGGCATGGACAGACTGCAGTGTATGCTAACTAAGAATATCCACTACGAAGTCAGACATTGAAACCACTCACTCACCTCAGGTTTTCCATTTCTAAAGGCAGATTGTAACTGAGGAACTGGTGCAGTTTCACTTTGTGTTCCCCGGTAAATTTAATTTTCAGCACTTGATTTAGGTATCTGCCCAAAAAAAGGGGGACACGGGATCAGTGCACAATCCACCAGGCCATCTCCCAATGCCAGGACACCACACAGCAGTGGGGGCACCTCTGTTCCAGGAGGGGACGGGGACACTGCCTTCTAGAAGTCCACTGTCCACTCACCCACCCCTGTGACTTCAGCTCTGATTCAGGGCTGTCTTTAGTACAAGGCAAGAGGGAGTTTGGTCTTGAGCCCCAGGCCACTGGCAGCCCACATTTATCTCTCACTGACCACAGTGGCCCATGTGTTCCTGGAGGGGAGTTCCACGCGCCACCAGTATAAGCCAAGTTCGGACCAAGAAAGCTGAGCTCTTACTTTTCCATTGTTCCAAACAGCCACTTTGGTTCCTTATTGAATGGCATTTTCATACCGTGAAACGTGGCCATTTTCTCAGCGATATCTGCAGAAATATCTGGTAAACTTAATTCTTCAGTGTCCAGTCGTCGGCTCTGGAACAAAAAAGGGTGTTAGAAAATGGCATGTGCCCAGGTCTTAAGAACTTGAAGTCTGTTTTTGTAAGGCATCTAAATCTCACTGAACATATAAAACTCCTTCACAAATAAATTCTTCTACAAATGAGTGTGGTGGGCCACCTCCTGCCAGACACCATGTACGCACGGCATAGCACAGCCTCAAGTGTGCAGGAGACAGTCCTGTGTCCCCGAGAAGCAGACCCCTGAATAAGAGGAGGAATGCCTTTCTCCAATTTCCAAACCTGGCTGGGAGTGAGAAGGCAGGCCATCAAGATTCTGCAACACCAACCAAACAGGCTCCCAGTTGCCTGCTGGTGACAAAGTTAATGAGCATTGGAGTAGCAAGCATCACAGGGCTGGGATGGGGGTGGCGCAGGGTCCTAGTTCACACTTTCACTCATACTCACATGATCCTACAGCCGGGTGTACTGCTGAGTGCAACTGTCCCAGGAAGATAAGAAAGGAAGACCGCCCTTACTTCCTAGAGGCCAGTCCTTGGGATGAGGTAGTAATGTGACAGGCATGTGGGTCAAGGGCAATGGGGCTAGGGAAATTCTAAACAGTGTGAAGATAAATAGATGAGGTAAGCTCAGAGATACACTGAGGGCAGCGGAGAGAGAAGGGGTGAATTCAAGAAAGGTGAGAGGAACAATAAAAAAAAAAAAAATTAAAAAGGAACATTCTAGGGTCAATAGCCTTAGGAGACACTGGAGTGTTATGTCTTGACCTATTTTTAATAATGCAGGCAAGACAGCCAGAAGAAATTGTTTCTCCTTATTTCAGACACAAGCAGCTGGGGGCCACATCTTACCGGAATGAACTGCTCCAGGCGGCCTTGGGGAAAGATCCCATAGAGTTTGGGACCTAGAGCCCTCTCTGCAAGAATGGCGAACATCACACTCTCCAGAACCATGGCCTCAGCCCCCTGAAATGAGAACAACAGGTCAGATAGCCCTCGTGTTTCCATGGGAGCAGGTCATGGGGTCTGCACATCTAGGCTTGCAGGCATCATGGCATTGGGGGTCTGGAAAGGGCAAGATTAAAGCAGGGCATTGGCTCCAAAAACAGAACACCACCCCTCAGCACTTTTGTGGCTCCTAGTTGTGGTCAAGTCTCGTCAAGGTCCCAGCAATCCATTCACCCAGTTCAGGGCCTCTCGTCCTAAGGCTGTGTGCGGCCACTGAGTTTGAGAATCACTGATTCCTATCAGGAGGTCTCTGGCTTTTTGGTCTGAAGAGTGCTGCTCCATAGGGTATTCAAGGCTTCTATTTTCTACCTTCCCACTCAATCTGTAGCCTCTGGAGTTTCACATTTGTCTTCTTGGCAAAATATGAGGCTCAAATGTTGTCTTCAAGTCTGCTAATTAAGCAGAGATCTAGAATCATTTTGCCTTCCCACTCCATCCTTTAAGCTCAAGTCAAATCCATGCCTTAGTCCTCTTTCAAAGCCTTCAGCAGCAAATCACAGCATGAGAGCCCCCACTAGTTGGGGGGAAACGAGCAGAGGGTCATTCTTGTCCAGCGTTGCACCTCCATATCCTCGGGAGCTTTCACACATTTGGATTCCTGGGTCCTGGCCCAAGTGTTTCTCATCCAGCATGTCTGAGGAGGGGTGTGTTCTGACAGGCTTTCCAGAGTCTTCTAAGAAGTGATGGGAGGGAAGTACCCAACACTGCACGAGACCTAGCAGGCTCAAGAGCAGGCCCTCATGTTACAGAACACAAGCCGAGAAATGAGCAGCTCTGAAAGGAAAAGATACTCTCAATGGCTACCAGACCACACGAAAGCAAAAGGTGGAAAGGAAAACGGGTTTGCAGGTAGCTCCCCCTAATTACAGTCTACCCATCAGCCGTGTGAGCCCACAAATCTGTTTCCATCACCTGTACGTGTATAATACAGACCCACTTCAGTCTATCAGGTGAAGGCATTTCGAGCAGAGGCGGGTATCAAGACAGGTCTTTCTAAAAGCCCTAAAGGAGAAAGACAACAGATTGTCCAGGATACACAGCTCCTGTGGCCCTGTCCCATATACACTTCTCCAGTGGTTGAGCCCCCACGTCTCCCAAATGCTCTGTCTCCAGACAGACTCCACTGTGGCCCAGAGAGTGAGGAAGGCTGAACTCGGCACCCAGACAAAGGAATCTGCCAGTCCTGCATCATTTCCAAAGACCTCAATTTCTTCTGGCTGACTGTCCAGAATGCTGCCAGAATGACAGTGCTCTTCAGCTTTCCTCTGCCTAGAACGACTAAGCTGAGGGCATCAAGCAGGCACCGTCCTACACACACGTCTGAAACAGTCCTTCAAGCTTGAAACATCAAACTTTATGGGGTAACTTTTGTTAAGTGCTGTCGAGTTGCCAACTCAAGCAACCCTGTATGAGGTTTCCGAAGGGGCGACTAGTGAGTTTGAAGCACCAACCTTGCAGTTAGCAGTCCAGTTCCTACATCACCACTCCAGGACTTATCCTGTCAGTGAGCTTGACATCGTGTGTGCTGTGTACATCAGAATAAAGGACATGTGGGGCTGACCAGGATAGGCGGAGCTGGGAGAAACTGGGTTCCGGTTCCAGACCACCGCAATACACTGAGTCACACACATTTTGTCTCCCAGTGCAGGAAGAGTCATGTTGTCTGTTAAGTGTGCAATAGCATCACCAATGTCTGAAATACTGTTAGAATGACGAAAACGGACAGAGTGACACCAACCCCCACCCAATGCTCCCCGAGTGGTGCTGTGGGTTCATGTGCCAGACTGCAAAGCCATTTGCATTGTAAGGTTGGTGGTTCAAACTCACCAGTCGCTCCTTGGATACCCTATACAGGATCGCTACGGGTCGGAACCAACTCTACATCACTCAACAAGAACAAACCCAGTCCTCCCAGAATCCAGTCAGCCCCAGTCCCAGACACAGAAGAGACGCTAGAACTTTTCACCTCTCTTTAGAGGGTGATTTCTGAACCCTGTAAATAAGACAGCCCTTCTGTGGCAGTGACTTGGCGTTGGTTTTGACCCACAGTAGCCCTGCTCCACAGGGCTGTCAATCTTTAAGGGATTTCTGAGGCTGTAAATCTTTACAGGAGCAGAAAGCCTCATCTTTCTCCCTCAGAGAGACTAGCAGGTTAGAACTATTAACCAGTAGAGTTGAACTACTAACATCGCAGTTAGCCGTTCAAGATCCACTCACAGCAGGCAGAAGGCAGGGGGTGAGCATGCGGGGCTAGAATTTGGAGAGGAAGGAAATGAGAGGACGCCAAGACACAAGCAGGACAAACATAGAGTGTTAGAGGATGGCAGGCCAGTCAGCATTCATGTCAAACAAGACGCGCTGGTGGTACAGTGGCAGTGATGACTGAAAGGTCGACGGTTTGAGCCCACCAGCCGCTCTGCAGGAGAAAGAGGAGGCAGCCTGTATCTGGAAAGACGGCGGCTTTGGAAACCACGTGGGCAGGTCTACTCGGTCCTAAAGAGTCAGAATCAGGTTTGGCTTTTGGTTTTAAAACTCAAAAACCTTCCTGAGCCGACACAGCTCGAGTGTTGACCAGGGAACAAGGACAGGCCCTGCTCTCTCAGGAAGCCATTAGATTTCGATCAGCATCACAAGTTCAGTGCCGACTGTACCGTGTACCTGTCGCTGTCTCAGGTGCCAGGGTAACCAGAGAGAACAGGGCATATAGGTGGCCCCTCAGGGAGTTCCATGCTAGTAACTGCGGTGGAGGGACAAAGAGGCAGAGAGGGTGGCTGTGTGGCTGGGAGTGGTCCCTGAGAAAGAGGCAAGCTGGTGGGAGAGTGAGGTGGCCCAGAGGTAGGGCAGGGTAATCAGGCCTGGCCCAGGAATCCTCAGCTGTGAACAGAGCCGACATCACCTAGGGAGAGAGTGATGAAGGGACCAGGACAGGACAGGGCTGTTTACCGCCCACAAACACAAGACTTTCCCTCCCAACTATGCAAACATGTTCTAGTATTTCCTACTTATTCTATTAGAAACCACCAACCAACTTTAATTCTTTAAAGTGCACAATGCTCTGCTGTGAGCATCATGTACTTTAAAAAATGATCCATAAAGGATCAAAGTGACACCAGCAACTCCGAAGATGGGCTAGGCGGCCTTAGTAGGGGCAGTGAGGTCATGTGATGGGGAGGCGCAGGTCAGAAATAGCTGCATTTGCCCATGCTTTGTTGCGCATATTCTCCACAACAACAAAGTATGTAAAAGTTAGTCGGAAACAAGGCAAATCCTACCAACAAAAAATGTTGTATATTTCCTGCCTACTAGAGAGCTGAAAGGAGTCCTGGGGTGGCGCGGTGGGTTAATGAGCCAGACTGCAAGTCTGAACTGCAAGGTCGGCAGTCCAAGCTCACCAGCTGCTCCTTGGAAACCCTATACAAGGCCGCTATGGGTCGGAATCGAGTCCACGGCACTTGACAACAAGAGGCTGAAAATCTCGTCACTTGAAAAACTGGTAGAATATGGGTAGGCACAGGAGGGGAGACTTGAGCGAGGGAAGGTGGCATTTCTGGGGGCGGGCTTTCTGTGTCATGAGGTCAGCTGGAAGGTCAGCTAGGAAGAGAAGACCTGTCCATGGGTTTGGCAACATGCAGGGTGTTGCCAAGACAATGAGAATGGCTTCAAGGGAGCTTAGAGCATTGTCAGAGGGAAAGGGAGCAGAGGGGAACTGGAAGGGCAGCTGTTTTTAGTGACTTTTCACTTATCTGTAAAGTGTTATTTCTTTTTGTAAAGGTAGACGTTCTGTAGCAAAAGGAGGGAAGCGGGTGACTTTGCAGCCCAGGAGTGGAGGGCCCTGGGACCATCAAGGTAGAAGAGCAGAGTGCAGGACCCTACCCAGAGAAGCAGTGACCTGAGAGATGGAGGCAGAGACGATGATGTGGAGAGATGGAGTGGCTGGGGACTCTGGACCCAGAGACGGAGAGGGGCTGTGTGCTGATGACCAGGAGGCAGGCTTGCAGGGCATACCCTTTGGTTGGCTGATGAATGCGTGGAGGGGACTGTTAAGCATGGCAATGAAATGATAAATGATAGGATGAATGTAAAGCTAATGTTCTCCCATGTAAACTATCACACAATTCACAATAAAGCTTTTTTTTTTTTTTAAGTGTTATTTCTTTTTTAAAAAGATTACACTTCAGTAGTAAGCTATCAAGGAGCTCTGGTAGCAGCAGGTTACGAGCTGGGCTGCTAACACCAGAAGTTCAAATGTACCAGTTGCTCCTACGGAGAAAGATGAGGCTTTCTGTTCCCATAAAGATTCATAGCCTCAGAACCCCTGAACAGGGCAGACAACCACCACCATCATCACCAATAAGCTTCTCAGTGTCACGAGCTGCTTGAAAAGACAACTCATGCCTGGACTGTTCTTATAGAAAATGAGTAACTTCTTTCAGTTATAAGTTGAGAGGATGTTTTACAAAACACAGCACAAACTCTACTCTTCGTCAAAACCATGAAGCAAACCAAGACGGAGGAACTGTTACAGGCTGGAGGAGACTAGTGCAGTGGTCAAAGCACTTAGCTGCCAACTGAAAAGTCAGCAGTGCAAACCCACCAACCACTGGTTCCATATGAGAATGACATGGCAGGCTGCTTCTGTCCAGATGACAGTCTTGGGACCCCAGGGGGCGGTTCTACTGTCCTGTAGCGTCCCTCAAGTGGGAGTTAACTCCGTGGCAATGGATTTGTTTGGAAGCCAGATGCAACGTGTGATTGTGGTCAGAATAAAAGAGCTTGTTGGTGGAACACTTGTGAAACTCAAGGACGGTCTGCAGTTCAGTTGATCTCCATCCAGGGTTTGATCAGTGCACTGTGGTTATTGGAGCTGGTAAGCATGAGGGGAAGCTGGCCAAGAGGCACACTCCACCAGGAACTCTCTACACAGCTGCAGCTTTGAAGTCCCAAAGGAGTTTGAAATAGCAAGTTAAATGAGCACATGCATATGGGACAGAGCGAGATCAAGCAGCAGGACACACTGACAGGCACCAGGAAATAATGGCTCCATTATCGCCAGTCTAATCGTTTTGAGTCTCCGCTCTGATCTTGTCATCCTCCAGTGGTTTGCCTGTTGCCTCTGGCCAAGTTCCGCTTTCTCCAGAGCAGGGGCTGACACAAGGCCTACCCTCCTTTCAGTCTCCTCCCTTGGCATCCTTTCAGTCTCCTCCCTTGGCATCATTGTCCTTTGTACTTCCTTAACTTTGAACACTTCCCTGTTCAAAAGTAGGGCTTGGGAAGTGACAGCTTCTCACCAGCGGGTACAACAGCAGGCAGGGTGGTTATCACACCTGCAAAGGCCCTGGGGCTGGATGGTGGGGAGGAGGGTACCAGCTCAGGCTGGCCAGAAGTCTTTTACCTCTGCACCACTGAGGAGGATGCTACCCAGCGGACAATTCAGATTAAAGCTCTGGTGACCGAGATGTTCAGAAAACAAGAGCTCATGGAGGGGCTGGAAGCAGACAAAAAAGTCAGCAGAGCTCTGGGTCATGGGAAGCAGCCACCCTGAGAACACCATTGTCTGAGGATGGAGGAGAGCCTGTGCTCAGTCTTGGCCAGCGCAGAGCGGGGGGAGCTGGGCAGAGAGGGTGCCCTGGGGAGATGGGGCCTGGAGAGGAGAATAAGGAGAAATACGAAATGGCTTGAGGGCAGGATGGGCTGCCCCCTCTGCTCCCCAAAAGCCTCAAGAAAATTGTTGTTGTTGTTATGTGCCATGGAGTCGTTTCCGACTCACAGCGACCTTGTACAGAGTTTCCGAGGCTGTAAATCTTTACGGGAGCAGAAAGCCTCATCTTTTTCCCGTGGAACAGCTGGCAGTTCACAGCCCGATTCGTAACCACTATGCTACCAGAGCTCCTTTCAAGAAAATTAGAGCTGGGAATATACTTTGGAGCTAACATCCTGGAGGTCCTGGTAGGCCAACATCTCCAAGAAGAATGTAAAACAATTCAATGAAACGTGGGAGAAATGGACTGCATGGGCTGATCTTGATCTCACCTTCTCTACATTTCTAGTTTTGCTTCATTTGAAGAATTAACATATTGCTGTTTAAGTTATGCCATGAAAATATAAACATACACATTATTAAAATAATGAGTTACTAAACCATGTTGTACAGTACTATCCAAGTGGATCGGAGTCCCAGTGGCTGTGCAGAGCAGCACGCAGCAGTGTCCAGTCCTGCACCCTCCCAGAGTGTTGTGTTCTTCCATGGCAATCCAGCCCAGCCGTCTTCTGCTTTCTGTGCTGACTGACCCTCACTTCCCAAACATCAAGTCCTTCTCCAGAGACTGGCTCCTCATAAAATGCCAAAGTCTTGCCATCCTGGCCTAGAAGGTATATTCCTGCTATATTTTCTTCCAATACCGGTAAGGTCGTTCTTCCAGCAGTCCCTGCGTAGAGTCACCAATGCCCCAACTCAAAGATACCAGTTCTCTTGTCTTCTTTATTCACTGTTCAGCTTTAGCATGCATGAGAAGACTGAAAATAGCAAGGCTTGGATCAGGTGCAAAGTGATAGCTTTGCTTTTCAACCCTTTAAAGAGGCCTTTTGCAGAAGATTTGTTTTACTTATTTTCATGATGTGTGTATGAACAGTAAAACCAGTGTTGTGTGAACACCCTCCCTTACACTCCTGCACCGCCGCTCCAGACTGCCCACTTCTGGGCCGACTCTCAAGGCTCGAGTCCTTCTTGCAGAGATTAGGGTAATACAGCTCACTGGATCTTAGTCTTAGAAGCCTTGCCAACAGGGGCATCACACCCAGGAGACACTGCTGCGTCTCTGGTGGGACAGAGCCCACTTCTCAACCTGGCCAATGGGAGCGCGGGACACAGCGAGCAGCATCAAGTATCACACACACAAGTCATCCCCAGTATCCACCTGTGAGCACCCCAAATGCTGTTTTGATTGTCATGAAGGCCCCACACCGACGACACCCGCACTCCCAATAGGAATCAGGACAGCCCCTGGCCTGCTCAGCTTCACTAAGACAACTCCCAATCGACTATGAATCCTTCCCCTAAGATAGACAGCTGAGAACTTTCCGAGGGCAGAGCTCCGCCATACAGAGCAGCTGAGGTTTGCAACACCAGTTTCTACCTCACAGGTGCAGGGTAGACTTCATTACTTACTTGAAATGCATTTTCTTTCTGAGCTTGCTCGGCTCCCTCTTTATTACAGGACCTCTACGGATGAGAAAAAGCAGACACTTCCGGTGAGTCGGGAGCACTTTGGTACAACATCCCAGCTCTTGCACGGAGGGCAGGCTTATCTGCCCTAGACAGAGTAGCCCCAGTCTGCAACACTAGTACCAACACCTTCGAAATAGCTTTGGTTCTTTAGGAGAAAGGATGTGCCATTGAGACCAAATAGTGAGTTTCAAAAGCCATCCCATGTGCCTTTTAGCAATTTCATTGTTAGAGGAAACCCTGCACAGAGTCAGTGTAGGCAGCTCTGGACCAAACTAGCTACTGGTACAGACTGGAGGTCTCCTCTATGAGCTACATGCAGAACTCCCCTCCACAGTAAAAGGGCTGCGCACATGTATTTCACAGCAATCCCTAAACTTGGTTACATGTTAACATATTCAGGGATATTTTCCCATTACTTTCCGCTATGAAATTGCACATGATTGGTAACCAGGCTTCTAGTAATGCCCACAGACTAGATCATTAATGACCACAAGCAGCTCTTTGGCTACATTTTTCCCAGCACAGATTATATATTTGAAACCCACCCCCCACCCACCCATCCCCGCTCCCCCCAGGGGCTTTAAAAACCTTCATACTATCATTAAAGGTAAGAGAAGGGAAAAGTATTTCAAGGCAGAAACTTGAGTACCATGTCAAAATATGTAGATATTGCCTCTAAAGTTAGTGTGTTCCTTGTTACAATTAAACTAAGTCTGCTTAAACCAGATACAGAAGGAAGCCCAAAACGGAAGCCTCTTTGGGGGGGGAAAAATTACGGTAATAAATTCTTGAACATCCCATTAAAAAAAAAACAAACAAACATACCTTTCCATTCCACAGCTTTATCAAAAATACCTGTGCCAAGGGTGAAAAGTACGGACAGGGGGAAACGGCACGTTAGGCAACACCAGCTACTCTACCTAGCAACAATCAGAGACAGGGCAGGGCGGCCTTCAGCTGCCACCCCCATAGGTCATCTACTGAAGGAACAGCCTACACACATCTGCATGTGTGTTTCGTAGAAGCACATGTGCTACATGTTCTAGCTTTCTCAATATAAGAGCAAACAAATCAATATCCATGTGCACGAAGCTATCTGCAAAAAGGCTCTTAATGCCTGCATTTATACATTTTCAAAATCTTTCTCAGAAAATACAAATGGCAACAGATGATATAATTTCATTTGTGTCATCTGCGTTCCTCTGATTAAAGATGTCACAGGTTAAATCCCGTTACAATGAAAACTGTATTAATCAAACTACTAAAAAACGGTAGGTAGGCCTTTGCTGCAGGCTGGGCAACGTTATGATGTGACCCTTAGTGAAGAGTCACCAGGTGTCGTGAAAGCTCTCCCCCACCTCCACTCCAAAATACTCTCAGGGTGACACTGTGATCTTAGGGGTCTCCTCCCCACAGCGGTCTAGCAGCTCCCTATTTAATGTTCGTCCGTCTCCAAAAGCACCAAGGAAAGCCTGATGCTGAACACACACTTGGGACCACATGACTACACGAACTCTTTCTCATGTGGCACAAGGCCAGTGGCTTTGGGACATTCTCATCCATGATCATCCCAGTCCTGGGAAAATAAGCAAGGTGCTCATGAGAACATGGAATTGGGACTGACCCACTCCTTCACCAAAGGCATCAAAAGTTATTTCCTATGTTCTCACAGCCCGCCCCCCAAAGAACATTAAAAAAAAGTTCTAAAATGTGGTGTATATGAATATTCATATGGTATATGAATATTTACATATTAATAGTGCTCTGGTATGGTGGTGTAGGATAAGCATTGGACTGCTAACGACAAGGTCAGCTGTCTACCAGCCACTCACTGGAAACCCTAACACAAGGTCACTATGAGTCAAAACTGACTCAATGGCATGTAACTACAACATTATACATGTAGAAAACATGAGTAAGGAATTTGGATACCCTACTGAAACTGGTTGTAACGGGATTTGACCTGCACAAAATTCTACTTGACTAGAGTTATTCCCAGGCTGGTGTTCCTCTAACTGCATCTTCTTAGGGAGACACAGTTCACAGATGACTTAGCCAACAGAAGTCCTTTTCCCTCTCTAAATGGTGCTCTCAAAAGCAAGTCCTTCACTCACATTTACATATTGGTTTGTGCCCAAGGCTATTCCTTTAAAGGAGACAAACCATAAGTGAATGTAAATTAATTCCCAGTACCATTCCCATTCCCCTCCCCACCCCCAATCTCACCAACAGTGAATGTGTTACTTGTCCCCACAGAGCACCATCGAGAAGAGAACTTGGACATCTGCATTAGCTAGTCCTCGGTTCTGTTTCCTCAGTACAGAATGCGTAGGCTCCCTGGCATTAAGTGTAGGAACCGGGATGTCCTGTCCGGGGCACACATAAGAGAGGTCAGAGACCTTGGGTGTCCAGGAAGATAGGCAGTCAAAGGCATTTGGGGATCTGTGGGATTTTACTTTGGCGCAGAGAGTGGAATCAACTGTATAAACATTTAGTGCAACTGAAAAACTTTTCTCCAACTAGCTTTGCAAGCTATGAAAAAATTCGTTCTCAGATTAAACAAAAATGTACTTGATTTGAAAGAAGTCTGGACACACGTGGAAGGTCGGGGAAATGGGCACCTAAGGTTCATCATCCCTTCTGACCACACGTTTAAATGCCTCAAATTCCCAAGGGGCGAGGGGGGGTGGTGGTACAAATATTCACTAAAATATCAAGAACCAAGAAACCAGAATGCGCTAAATATTTACAAGAAGCCGCCCAACTCTATAAATACACTAGAAACCATTGGATTGTAACACTTTAAATGGGTGAATTAAATAAGCGGCTTTTTTTTTTTTTTTTAAGTTGCCTAATGATCACTGGTGTGGCGCTAGACTGCAAGGTCAGTGGTTCAAAGTCACCAGCCGCTCCCTGGGAATCCTATAGAGAGCAGCTGTGAGTTGGAACCGACTCCATGGCACTTAGCAACACTGATCACTAAAACAAATTAGACTTCTTCTCACCTTCCTTCCTTCATCCTCCCCTGTCAGAATCCCTCTTATAGCAAGTCATGTAGTTACCTACCAGCAGCCTATGAAACAGGCAACAAATGGGTGAAATAGTGACCACCCTAAAGGGGCTGTGATGTATGGCTTTAGCTTTTATTTTTTTGAAGTATAGAAGACTTAATGTGGATTTAGAACCCTAAGTTTCTAAATATCAAAACTCTACTAACTAAGAGGTCAAATGAGTAATGGTTTTTACATTACTACTCTCTACTGAGAAACATGTCTTAAAGTATATGTTATTTTTAGAAGAAATACATTTACTTTAAGGTTTCAAATGCTACTTTTCAGATAAAATCACATTGAAAGGTTTGAGTACATTAAATGAGGCCATGAAAGAAGTAAATATAGAGTATTTTCAAAATGTTTCATTTCCTGTTTTGAACAGAAAATGATGGTGGGATAGGATGAGGAAATATCACTGAATTAAGCTTTGTCTTATATACGTCCAGGGTTCATAAATGGTCTACTGGAAGTTACTGGGTGTTGTTTAAGCTACCTGGTACACTAAAAGTAACAGGCTTGTTTTTCCAAGCATGTTTACACCACCAGGCATAAGAAACCTGTACATTTAGCCATTTCTTTCTTTTGAGCACTTCCTCTAGTAATGAGGAGGAAAACAGTTGTAGGATTAAACAACACTTGTGAGTTGAAACAAAGGCGCACCCCTCAGGTTTCCCTGGCATCTGTGTGAGTGTGTGCAGGCATGCGTGGAGTGCATAAACTGGTAGAAATGGATAAGGAAAGACAGTTTATGAACAGCTATTCAAAGATCAAGGACCTCTGGCTGGCACAGTGGTTACAAACTCTTGGCTGCCAACCAAACGGCCAGTGGTTTGAAGCCACCAAGCACTGTGGGAGAAAGGTAGGTGATCTGCTTCTGTGGAGATGCCACCCTTGGAAGCCACTCCATGGCAGCAATGGCTTTGGTTTGCTCTTGGTGTTCAGAGGTCATCGAAAACACCTGTAATACCTGGAATGCTTATCTTCAAGATCTCCTCAGAGACGCACTACTGTGTGATCTGCTCCCGGGCCAGGCTGGGAAAAGTGAGGAAATCAGCTACAAAGAATGACATGTCATTAAACGAGACGTCATTTACAAAAATCAAGTCATCACCAAGTCTAGAGAAGGTTACACTAAGGCTAAAGAAAAGGAAGGGGCTATAGAAATGAAACAGAAATAAGGGAGGCTTTGGAAACTCATGTGACATGCTCTTCTTCAAGAAAAGAACCTAATGGCTCCTTCAGTCATTACGTCTTTAAAAGGCTCATTTATATGATGAGTGCATTAGCTGTAGTCTTTTACACTCTGGGAGCCACAAAGGAATGGTTAAGGAAGAATGACCTAAGCGCTCGCTAGAATCAGCTCTTAGGGTACATGACGTTCGGTCTGTCCACTCCTCTGAAATTATCTGCCGAGTAAAGGCACCCATGTTTGGAGTGCTGGGGAACTGATGCTCATCTGGTCCAGGAGCAACAGGCATGTCTCTCAAGAGGCCTAACACCTCCCCACCCCCTCCACCCCCGTGGTTACCTGACTGCACACGGAGCCTGTACGAAACCCTGGCCTGCTGGGTCCCTGTTCTGTCTTTTGGGGTGGTGGTGGGGAGTGCTCAAAAGAGCCTGTGCAAGTCATGACCCCACAGGTCAACAACATGCTGCATGGTCTCCTCCTCAGTGCTATCATGGCGCTAGCCTTCCTTCTCTCCCCCCACATGGCTATGAAGAGGACGGAAACATCACATATTTTGCTCTTTCTTGTGGTTTCTGAAAGCATTTTCTGGAACAATTTTACAGAACACTAAGGTATCAGATTGCAGCATGACTAAAAGTAGTTTCTGTGATTTTTACAGACCACGTGTGAGTGATAAGACTCTAAATAGAAAAGTGATTTCTAACATCTTAGAGTCATCTAGGTTCACCCTAAATAATGTGATCCTTCTGAAT